CTGCGGGTAATCGGTTCCAGGTCTTAAAAACTCTGTTACTGAAGAAGTGCCTGTAATAGTTATTGGATGATTGTGCCTGTGCCAGATGGTGTCCTCTAAATTGAGTATTTCCTAAATACTGAAACAATTCCTTATCAAAGCTTATGAGATCACAATGTCTATGAAAAAGTTTGTATTAACTCCCATCATTCTCTGCATTCCTATAAGGTTTTACATTTTTGCTTCAAGTCTCACCTCATGAGTTTTGCTCTTTAATGCTTTCGGTACTTTAGAAAATCTCTGCTGTTCAATTTCAAGTGCTTCAATATCTTTTGTGAAATACGTACTCCAGATTTGAAACCCAATTTTCTGCATAATTGAGCATCAAACATAGAAACTGCCATATTTATAATATTCGGACTCAAATTTGGGGTTTTTTCACTCGTTTTTCTCCGCAGCTAAAAAATATGTCCATAACAAGTGGTAGGGAAAAAAATTTTTGGACGATTCAAAAGAGTTGTACTATACATCCAATTTTAATAAAGATATATTGATTTCTGATTTGAAACAGTACAAATCATAGAACCTTCTTTCTTTATATTAAAAAAAGAGCTGCAAAATAGAATATTGCCTTCTTTATGGTAAAAACATATCATAACTGCAATACTTAATCTCATACACATCCAAATTTGGATAATTACCTTATTCAGCAACAGGATTACAAAACCACCAAAAGTTATTGTTATTCCGCTGAAGTCTTCAGTAAAGTGAAAAATACTTCTTCAAGGCGCTCCGACTCAAATGAAAATTTTTGCTTTGCTATGCAAATGATAGGCATTAGCACCAAATTATAATTTTAAATTAACTGTTATTTATAACACTAAAGAATCAACAATTTGTATTATTAGGTATTTCAAACTGCAGAAAATGGTAATATTTATCTTATTTATTGAAAATTATGATTGTGTTTCATTTCATCCTTCAAGCAGTTTTTTCACGGATTTTAAATTCAACATGGTTTCTCAGTCCTTTTTCCATTTGCTCCCTCGAGTTACTGGGTGGTGTCAACGGGATTTTAAGTTTCATCTGCCCCATACATAATCATAGACATGTGGTCAATACTCATTACATACTGGACAAAATTATTAGAAATTGATATAATAAGCGACAGAGACCTATGCCAAAAACAATATGAACTTGAACACACAGCTATGTTGCTTTTTAATACAACTGTTTAGTTTTGTATTATTTCATTGCCTACTAAGAATAAAACTTAGCTGATTTCAAGGTGAATAAAGTTGATTGCGGTTTGAATCAGTCCAAAATGTGTTTTGTTATTGAATATCTGCAATAATTCTTTTTGAAAATTATGTACAGACAAAAAAGGAAAACTTATAAGGCAGGTAGACTAGGTAAGACAGACCTGGTTTCTTCTAAACGTTTCAGATTTTCTTCCATTATGGAGGTTTTTCTGTATTTCTTCAGACTATAATATTGTCGTTTAGCCTTACTAGATGTTCGTAATTTTCTATCGAATTGGCAATCAAATTTCGTTGGAATACAGCCTGCTTTCATGCGTACTTGCGCAACCGAACCCATCACATGGTACTGCATATAATTGGCCATATCGTTTGGCAACTGCAATACGAGAATAATGTTGCAAACTTAATTGTAATTTGAATTGAATTCAAAAGATTAAAAAACTAACCTCAAAATTTTGAATTTATAAGATCACACTACTGTTACGGAATCTAGGAAATGAAGCTAAAACTTACGTCAAAATGGTCTTCACAGAAATAAATTGGGGAATTTACAGAAACAGTCGAGGGGTCGCGCAGTGCAAGGTCGAACCACTCCCTTCGCACCGCTGCAACTTGTGGGACATAAACAAATACTTTCTTCGGTGTTTTTATTGACGTATTATTACACAAAGGGACCGCGCACCACTTGTATACTTTAGAATTCATATTATTTATTAGGTACGTGCATTAACTTTTATAATTGTGCTGGCAAAGCATCTGTGTTTACTATTGATTGACGTGCTATACAAGGGCATGACGTCACATAATGCCGGCACTCGTTTATTTATCGATCGTCTTTGCTATTTGTAAACTTGACAGCAGTCTCTCCTTTCTATTCCATAAAGTAAAGAGCATGATAAGGATATAATTGTGTCGATTCTGGCGTGATTCTCTAAACTTAAAAAACTAAATTTAACATCAGTCTTTCCCTTTCATTCTGTATAGAAAACGACAAAGATGCACTGTTGTCAAATTTAAGTTTAGCTTTAGAGAATCATGTCAGAATCGACACCGCTGTTGTCAAGTTTACAATAAGCAATTAAGAATAAATAGTCATTACGGGAAGTGGATAAAGGACATGACACCTGGCAGGCATTTTGGCGCGAATTTGAATTTTTTCTTCATGTTTAGTTGAAATGAAATTTTGCTCACAGTGCGTTGTGTATGTGTACCAATTGAGTCCAACTTAAATTATTGCATAGTTTTAATTACGATTTAATAATCTTGTTTCTGTTCATCCCCTGCTAAATTGAGACTGGAATGTAAAACTATTTCCATGACTTCATGGATGACTATTAAGCAGTTCATAAATCTATTTTTTTGTAATTTTTTAACCTGTGTTTCTTACCTGTGAGATCCTTTACTTGTTTGTGTAACTCATTTGGGTAACGAATTTAATTCATAATCTAACTAAAATATTCATTCACTTTGATGTTTGAAATCATAAACCTCTTGTTAAAAACAGAATGGTGGAATGGGTGGGAATAATTTATAAGTGTATTTATATTTAATACAGTACATAAATCAGTAATTTTGTTTTGTTTGCAAAATACTTTAAAAACTTGGAGCTAAAACAGCAAGCACTTGTATAGCACTTAACTATGTTGATATAAACCAAATTGTTACACAGACACCATCTGTGCATAAACAGTTTATACAGTTGCGAGGTTTAAAATCAAAAACATGTTTTTAATCCACAACCCCATATGTGTAAATATCTGATATTATTATTATGACGCAAATAAATATTTCACAGGCAGACAGTTTCTGCTCATTACCTTAATGTTATATTTTGTTTATCAATGGGAACTAGAAAACATTTTAGATAAAACTAGTGACATAACTTTAATGGGTCTTTCTACTACATGAGCAATGATAAAATTAAGAATGTGTAACTTCTGCAACCTTTAAATCCCTGTTATCTGTCTGTATATAAAATATATAATGAATGAATACACTATTTACATTTTTTTGTTTTATTAACCATGTGCGCTGCACTTCAGTTGATAACACAATTTTAAGTGTGTAACAAACATCATAAATTCACTCTCATTTCTACTTTTCTAAATACAAACATATCTCTGCGTTCTGATTGGTTTATTATGATAAAAAGTCATATATCTTTCAAAATTTTACTGCTCCTTTTGTATTTTAATTTTACTAAAAGTTTTTAAAATGATTCCAATCATTAAATATTTTTGTATTAGGTATGTATTCACAAACATGCTATGGCACGCATTATGGTATGTAATCATCATAGCCACTCGGTTTGGGATGCCACAGTAGAACTCGGACATAGGTTACCATAAGTTTGTCCACATACCCTGTGAAACTCGGGAACCTCACTAGCCAAGAGAAACACAACACAATACCAAAAAGATCGTGTGATTTCACTGTGGTCTTCTCTAAGGAGGTTTGGTTCTACCCTATGACCTAGTGTTTTACGTAATGTTGACTGTGTGTGATGTTTTTAATACACAGCTGGGACAGGTAGAATATGGTATTACCAATTTCAGTCCCTCGCATCTAGAGTTCTAACGTACCGGAATAGAAAGTTCATGCTTCAAAAGCTGCTTAAACTGTTTACCTTATGAGTCTTGACCGAGTCGAAAAGGGAGTCCGTCTCTTTTTGCGACTTCTCTTGAATTTTTCGCAAAAGTAGAGTAAGCTCAAGTCTTCCATATCACTATCGTCAACATCGTCAAGCAGCATTAAAAAAGGAATCAAAAAACTCGGAAACATTCCAACTTATCCACTTATAAACAATAATTTGTTTATTTACATCAAACCACAGATTATGAGATTAGTCAAGCAGAGCAGACGTCAAACGAGACAGACAGACGGGTTTATTTTTGTTGGTTTTACTGGCCCTGGCTTCTGTCTCTTAAGTATTTTTATTTATTTAAATATTTCTGGAATCTGCAGTAAATCTTGTAAATGTTTGTTGACCACACAGAACATTACTTGTTGCTTACCCAGTGGTCGTGGTCCTTGCGTGGCTACTGATTGAACAATGAACCCCTGATTTCAATGCTTTTCACTATGTAATGGTTGCAGTAGAATAGTTGAATTATTCGTACGAACAGTTATTTTGAACAGAATAATATTCTTATAACTTATAATGGTGTCGATTCTGACATAATTCTCTAAACTTAGAACTAAAAAATCAGTCTCCTTTACATTCTGTATTAAGAATGACAAGGATACACTATTATCAAATTAAAATTTAGGTTTAGAGAATCATGTCAGAATCGACACCAATGTAAAGTTAAGGTTTTTAAGTATTTCAAAATGGGCTTTTTTATATTTTAATGCTAACTTGTGCGGCTTGACCGGTAAGGTATCTGGCAGCACTGACATAATCTTAGTGTTCTGTGTCAAAGCCAGAATAAATAAAATAAAATACTGTACTCTGTGGCTGTGACAGGAACTGGATCTAAAAATGGACGCTGTACCGTAAGTACTTAGATGATACCGCTCCGAAATATCAGCTACTTTGATATTTGTTGTTTACATTCTTGTTATTGCGATAAAAAATATTTCAGGGACAATGTTTTCGCATTGGAAGCAACGACATATCGTCATAGAAGTCCTACTTGGAAATATTATGAGGCCCCAAATAAAAAAGATCGCACAGCAGTGTGCAAGCTCTGCAATGAAACGTTGTCTTTTAAATCAAGCATTTCAAACTTAAAGAAGCATTTAAAACGAAGACACAATATGTTTACCAAAAATGGATCTGGAGACGAAGATACTAATGAAACTTACCTCGAGGAGGAAACGTGAGTTCTAAACAAATAATTATCAGAGACTCTGTAGTATCACATTGCAAGGCAAGATCGATACTGCTGTTTTGTCACTGTTATTGTTAAAGTACTAGTCCTGTCACCTATTATTTTAAAATATTATTATCATGTACGTGCTTAGAGCATATAGCATTGGTATATACTTGACATAAAATATCTGTTATTTTTTGTAGATTAAGTTTGGAACAGGATCATTTGTTTTTCAACTTATTTAATTCGTATAGGTTACGTTAGAGTTTATGAAACTTTAATATTCGTTTTTTTAGCGAAGACAAACGCGCATCAGAAAAATTCCCGCGTACTAGTGTTGTTTGGAAACACTATGAGGTTCCGGATAGGGAAGAGCGTACAGCCGAGTGTAAATATTGCAAGGAGACGTTGTCATACAAATCGGGTATATCAAACTTGAAAAAACATTTGCTGAGGAAACACGACTCGGTCTTCAAAAATGATTCAGATGATGAAGCTGTCATGTCCGAAACTTACCTCGAAGATGATGAAGAAAGGTAAGTAAGTTTTGAAATACTTATTAGCAGTAACTGGAACTAATCCACTTGCATCAATATTGTATCTGCCCTCCAGAATTTGTAAATCAATAGGCGTTCTTACTTTAGTAATAACTTTTCCAAGAGTGCAGCCGACTCCAAAAAGTCTAACTTTTAAGTTTGATGTAGACTATAATTGATACAATGTAGCTGCTAATCTACGAATATTCATCATCATCATCAGCCTTTTAATGTCCCCACTGCTGGGGCTCAGGCCTTCCCTATGGATGAAATAGGAAGATTGGACCATGACCCACCACGCGGGCCCAGTGCGGATTGGTGGGTGCTAACAACTGCAGATGCAGCGGAGACCAACGGCTTAACATGCCTTCCGAAGCACGGAGGAGCTCGAGATAGTAAGTTTTTGGGCACCCATCCGATGACCAACCACTGCGAAAGTTGCTTAACTTCAATCACAGACGAACGCGCTAACCACTTGCGCTATCGAGCTATGAATATTGGAAAGACGTAAACTTGTTTTATTGTATATAGCAATCTCGGGAACTACTAGATTTGAATAATACAATAATAGTAATTGTTCAAAAATTACAAAGATAAAGAGCATCAAAATTTTAAGGGGAGGCCTGTGACATCTCTTTAAAATTTTTACCAAGACATGATGTCATGGGACAACACAAAACAATTAAGGTTTTTTACCAGCATTTGATATTATTATTAAAAAGAAAAAGTGTTAGTGTGCATGGAGCACATATTATTATCTTAAATAAACTAACAGGCAGTGCATAAGGCATTGAGGAAAGGAGCAGTGCACACATCACTCATATTGTGCGTGTGACGCTCGTGACGCTTATAGCGTTTCAACCTTTGCCAAGTTACTATACAACTTTTCGTGTACGTTGGGAAGAGCCGTGAACGCATCCGACACACATCCACATACATACATGTATATATATATATAGTCGTCTGACGGTCGTGACGCATTTCCGTTTCAGCTTTTCCATAGGATTTATCGTTTACACTCTATTTGATAAAAAGTTTCACTTCAATAATGTAGTCATCATCCCTATTGAAAATGTTATGGCTAAGTATGAATTATTAAGCTTAGATCTTCTAGTATAGGTCTTGCATACAATATGCAAACTATTGTATACTTATGTTCCTTTATCAGCGTAAATGGTGACGAGCCAAAGGATAAGAGGAGATCCCGTCGTAGCGGAGTGTGGGAATATTTCGATGTCACCGACGAGGAGCAGAGAACGGCAAACTGCCAGCTATGCAGTGAGGAGTTCTCCTATAGATCTACCTCCACGAACCTCGTTAGGCATCTGCAGAGGAAGCACGGTGTAGTTTTCATGCATAGTGAGAGCGACAATGATAAAGAAGGTGACAGTGAGAAGAGGTGAGAAACCGGGTGTGCAGAGGCGGGTTCTCTTACAGATCCACTTCCACAAACCTCGTTTATTTTTAATCGATAGGTCTGACAAATGACTCCACTCCACCTGATGTTTGTAAGAGGTTATAAGAGGGAGGGAACACGTGAGCGGGCAGAGAATTCCATTTAAGGATAGTGCGACAAAGAAATGAAGGAAAGGGGAAGTTTAGACATCTGCGGAGGAATCACTACAGTGTAGCTGATGTTTAGGATTTTCCAGTATTTATGCAGTTTAATGCATATTTAGCTGAAATTACTCATATCTATGCATAGTTACTTAGTAAAAGTTTATTAAAAAAAAAGATGAATTTTGGAATAAAATTTATCCTCTGTCCTTCCCGAGATACAAACTATATCTATGCCAAATTTCATCTATCGGTTCAGTGGTTTAATCATCAGGACATAACAAACGGACAGTCACACTTTCGCTTTCATAATTTTATTTATTATAGATTTCACAGCAGTAACTCCCATGTTTATTTGCAAATGTAAAGCCGGTCTGTTTGTTACTCAACAAGCTCATTTCCTACCAACAGACCCCGAAAGCCTACGAACAACAGAACGAGCATAGCATGGGACTATTTCACCATCAAAAACCCGGACAAAAAGTTAGCAACATGCAAAGTGTGCACTAAAGACTGCTCCTATTTTACTTCGACGTCTAACTTGCTCAAACATGTGCGGAGAGCTCACGGCATAGGGTACATGGCTGATGATGAGCCGGATGATGAGGAAGAGACCCAAGTGAAAATGTGAGTTGCATTTTTTTATTTGTCCAATCTTATCACTATAGTTATAGTAATAATCTAATGCGACAGCGGTATCGATTCTGGCATAATTATAATATAATTATATAACATTAAATTAATTTACAAAAAAAAACATCAATAATAGGTTATAGGTCTCGACTGAGACACATTAAACCTTTGCCTCTGATTGTAGGTCTTCGCTCAGACACTTAAAGCCGTTGCCTTAGTTCAGTGTTTCCTAACCTTTCCAATACTACTACCCCTGTAACCTATTAGGAAAACAGATTTTAACCCGACTTTAAAATGTTATCCAAGTCCAAGAAATTACAATTTGGCCAGGAGAAAATCTCGCTCCGCTTCCCACACTCAGCACCCCGCGGGCTCGCTTACAAGAAGGAGCGCATGCTCTATTTAGTAGTATTGTTATATAGTATTTTCTTATTATTTAGATTTGACCAAATAATTAGGTTCTTTGTTACCCCCCAAGTATGGCTGATTTAACCCCCGGAGGGGTAATTACCCCAGGTTTGGAACCCAGGCCTTAGTTCATAAGTCTTGTTCCTTAAGCCTGCTTTAGATTTCAAGGTACAGTTCTAGGTCTGACCACGCTCGTCGTTCAACAGTATGGGCATACTTCAAGCATTTAGACCGCGCTTCCTGCCTCGCCGTATGCCTCATATGCAAGAAGAAACTCAGCTATTTGACGACAATTACAAATCTGAAGAGGCATTTGATCAGAAAACATCCGCAGTTGGAATTGGACGGGATTGTGGATGTGAGTCTGGTGTACTTTTTTTAATCTTAAAGGGGTAGCAAACGAGCATATGGCCCGCCTGTTGCGATACCAAAATTATCACTACCCTGACCCAACCCTACCCCATGAAGACAATTATTTTCTAGTAAAATTTTCTTCAGATTCAAACGTCTAGTTCAGTGTTTCCTAACCTTTCCAATACTGCTACCCCTGTAACCTATTAGGAAAACAGATTTAACCTCGATTTTAAAATGTTATCATCAGTCCAAGTAATTCCAATTTGGCCGCTACATCTTCGTCTTTTTTTTTTTTTTTTTTTTATATTACTAGGTAGGCAAATGACTCTACCCCACCTGATGTTAAGTGGTGATAAAGTCCAAACGCGAAGATAGCTGGTACAGCAGTTATTAACTGCCACACCAACCATCCTCACCTTGCCGGCCCGTAAAAATGCTTCTTCACGCCTCTCTTAAAGGACCCCAGATTATAGGAAGGAGGGAACACGTGCGCGGGTAAAGAATTCCACTTACGAATAGTACGACAAAGAAATGAGTCGCCAAATTTCTTTGTTCGTGTAGGAATCGCAAGCCTGAGTTTTCTTGGCATTGAACTCAACCAAGTTCCTAGTACCCCATTCGGAAATGTGGTCTAAAGCCCGATTGAGCTCAACGACAAGATTCTCCCGTTTCTCCATGGTTTCTACCTGTCCAGCCGCAGCGTGTCCAAAGTATCTCGCATGCACTGTGCTATCGTCTGCATAGCAATGAATATTCGCAAGTGGAATCAAATCATTGATATGCAGCAGAAAGAGTGTGGGGGATAGAACGGAACCCTGAGGAACACCGGCATTCACTGACATGAACTGCGAACTACATCCGTCCGTAAGGACGCGAATTCTACGCTCATGCAGGAAGTCAGCTACCCAGGCGCAGAGCTGAGCAGGCAGACCGTATGCAGGAAGCTTGGAGAGAAGGCTCTTGTGCCAGACCCTGTCAAAAGCCTTGGCGATGTCAAGGCTAATAGCCAGAGACTCCCCGCTTGTCTATAGCTTCACCCCAGATGTGTGTCACGTACGCTAGAAGGTCACCCGTCGATCGATTCGGCCTAAATCCGTATTGACGATCGTGAATTAGAGAGTAATCTTCTAGGTAGCGGGTCAGATGGTTGTTAAGGACCCTTTCTAAGACTTTACACAACACTGAGGTGACAGCTATCGGCCGATAGTTGGCCGGGTCTGAGCGGTCCCCTTTTTTGGGCACCGGTTGCACATTGGCGTCTCTCCAAGCTTCCGGCACACGCCCCAAAGAGTAAGAGAGTTGGTACAGTCGCGTAAGCACGGGAGACAACTCCGCTGCACAATGTTTTAGAACAACTGCTGGGATGCCATCGGGTCCACTAGCTTTCCGGACGTCGAGTGATTGCAATTCCGCACGAACATCACGCTGCCTGATTTTAATGTCAGGCATCGTAGTGCCACAATGAGGTAGTGTAGGTGGCAGTGCATTGCAATCACTGATTCGGGAGTTAGCCGCAAAGAGCTTTGCCAACAAATCGGCTTTCTCTTGCGGCTCATGAGCTAGTGACCCATCTGGACATCGCAGAGGTGGCAGCGAGGGCTGGCAAAAGTTGTGTTGCACGGCCTTAGCCAAACGCCAAAAACTACGGGAGCCCGTAGGGTGCGTTAACAATTCGTGGCCAGTACGTGCTACACGTTGGGCATCCGCTCTGATGTAAGCCTTCTTACAAGACTTGGAAGCACTATTATAGGCAGCTTTCAATGAGTTAACCCCGGGATCCTTAAGAGCGCGGCCTCTGATCCAAGCGCGATACGCCGCCTGCTTACGAGAAACAGCATCGGCACAATCGCGATTGAACCAGCGGTTACGTGTGCCCTTACTGATGAGATCAGAATGTGGAATGTAATACTCCATTCTAATTACGATCTCCTCAGTAATGGCAACGGCACTGGATGATAGGTCCTTTTCATTGAAGCAGCGCTGCTTCCAAGGGACAGACGCAAAGTAATCGCGCATACCATCCCAATCTGCCGACCCATAGTGCCAGACCCTGCGTTTGACCACCAATGGTCGAGGGGTTTTGGCCTGTGGCACCTTGACAGATATCAGGCAATGGTCTGATGAACCCAGTGGGGCTAGAACCACAATCTGATACTCCTGCGGATGGGTCGTAAGCAGAAGGTCTAGTAAAGAAGGCGCTTGACTTGCTATATCTGGGATCCTGGTGGGCTGATCAACCAGTTGTGTCAAGTCATGCGTGAGAGCGAATGCATGGGCAGAGATCCCTGCATGGTCAGTTTTGGAAAAGCCAAGCCACAAACCGTGGTGGGCGTTAAAGTCTCCCAAAAACACCAGTTCTGCGTTGGGAAATTGCGCCTGGGCATCATCTGCTACCCTACTGAGGTGGTCAAACAGTCGAGTTGTCTCAGCGTCGCCGGTGTGAGATCTGTAGAGGCACACGTAGACTCTGGCACCAGAGTCTACATGTACCGCCAACATGGAAAAGGAGGGGTCTTCCAGGCAGCTCAAACGGCGACAACAAACATCCGCCCGAACATACAGGCATACGCCGGCTTTTGCTTTGAAGGATTCTTCAAGCGCGTAGCCGGGATATTTAAGGTAGCCTGTGTCAGCGGGCGGAAGTATTTGTGTCTCCGTGAGAAACAATAGTGCTGGCCGTGCTGTCTCAAGATGGTGGTGGACAGCATTGAGGTTAGAGTGGAGTCCGCGTATATTACAGAACTCAACCTCAAACAGCGCGGAAGGCGTGGGGGTGTGCACCGCTGTACAACCAAACTTTATTTTACGGGCTGCCATCATGAGTAAAAAGTTGAGAGACGTGAATCGAGTGGAGTTAGTCGCGACAAAGACAGGCAAATATATGGAGGCACGTTTTCCCGAGTAACTGCCTGCGAAAGAGATACGCCGACCCAACGGACGGAAGGGCCCCCGCACCCTCCCGGGAGTGGCCGCCGGGACCCCACGCCCCGGTCACCAACCGGCACGACGGTCCACCCCGAGATTATGCGTGACATGATGGGGCAGCCTCGCGAACTGGTTAGGAACGCTCGGGCCCCTGTACTGTGCCACGGGCGGCCAGCGGGACAGCCGTTTCTACGGGTCTCCCTGGCCGGCGGGTCGATGCAGTCCTCCCGGCATCGGTTCGACGGATGCCTCCACTGGACCGAATCTGTCGCGGCAATCTCCACTCGAGCTCTGGTTGTACGCTGGCTGACCCCGAAACGCGCGTGAAGCACTTCACGGGTTTTTCACCATGCGTACGGTGGTAACAAACCAGGCGGGTGTTAGGCACCCTACCACCAGAAGAGCAGATGGAGGCTCTGATATCCCTCAGTCGCTTCTTACGACACCCGCGGGAAGTGAAGGGGCGGTGAGTGGTATTCTTTCTCCGTCACCGCACCGATAAAAAAGTCTCTAATAATGTCATCATCAGGAGAAAATCTCCCCCGCTTCCCACACTCAGCACCCCGCGGGCTCACTACCAAATAATTAGGTTCTTTGTTACCCCCGAAGTATGGCTGATTTACCTCCGGAGGGGTAAATACCCCCAGGTTCGGAACCCAGGATCTAGTTGTTAAATCTACCGTCCGCAAGCTAAAACGCGGCTAAATGACAAAACCAACTTTTGGGATATGGTCAAGAAAACAGCGCATAAACTTTAAATTATTGCTATTTTGTAACCGTTCATCAAATGACGGATTTTTAGATTTAAACTTTAAAAGATACGAATACTTATTAACGACAGATCGATAGGGAATTAAAAACTATAAAAGATGCAATTTAAGACTGAAAAATCGACCACATGTCACTTAGCCTCAGTTTAGTTTGAGGACGGCGGAAATTCTTAAAATATATATAACGATAATGGTGTCGATTCTGACATGATTCTCTAAACCTAAACTTAAATTTGACAACATTGTATCCTTGTCGTTCTCTATACAGAATGAAAAGGAGAGACTGATATTAAATTTAGTTTTAGGTTTAAATAATCATGCCAGAATCGACATCAATGGCTACTTAGCCTTTTGATAAGAAAATATATTTAATACTAGCGGTCCGCCCTCGCTTCGCTTCGGTGTAGAGCTGAAGTACAGCTTTTGATCTCAGGCTTGTATTATACACAATGACATTCATCTATGATTCTTCTTATACCTGCATGCAAAGTCTCTGCCCGATCGGTTTAAAATTGACAAAGTTTCATACAAACTTTCATTCCCTATTTTATCCCCTTGGGGGTAGAATTGATCAAAATCCTTTCTTAGCGGATGCTTACGTCATAACTTCTACCAGCATGCCAAATTTCATCCCGATCCGTCCAGTGGTTTGGGCTGTGCGTTGATAGATCACTTTGTCAGTTAGTCACCTTTGAGTTTTATATATATTTAGAGTGATGGTGTGGTTAGTTTATACGCTCAGGCAGCGATAGGTACTGGTTCAATTCCTGAAAAAAAACCCTTAGATATAACGTAACAACTTTTTTAACTTCATTAGTTATTGTTATGTTTTTATTTATTTTTTAAGCATTTAACTGCTAGATGTTTAAATCTAAAGATAAGTTTTACTAGAATAAAAATCCACGCGGACCAGGTAGCGGACGGGACTCGAACCCGCACCCCTCGCAATCCGGGCGAATGCACTGACCTATTATGCTACCACGGCACCTGATGGCAGCGTCGAAATTTTCCTAGCCTTAAGCTGCAAGGCAGCGCCATCCCTTCGCATTGTAGACAACCCACAATATGAAATGAATACTTTTTGCAAGTACTAAACATTTGAAAGAAGAAATAGCAATTATAGTTATGTTTTTATTTATTTTAAGCATTTAACTGCTACATGTTTAAATCTAAAGAAAAGTTTTACTAAAAAAAAAACCACACGGACCAGGCAGCGGACGGGACTCGAACCCGCAATCCGGGCGAATGCACTGACCAATTATGCTACCGCCTTGATATTTATTGATTAATTGAGGAGCTCGATGGCGCAGGTGGTTAGTGCGTTCGGCTGCGATCGTTGAAGTTGAGCAACTTTCACAGTGGCCGATCATTGGATGGGTGACCAAAAATCTTCTATTTAAAGTTCCTCCGTGCTTCGGAAGGCATGTTAAGCCGTTGGTCCCGGCTGCTTCTGCAGTCGTTAGCATCCACCAATCCGCACTGGGCCCGCGTGGTGGGTCATGTGGCCCAGGAGTGGGGGCATTAATGGGCTGATGATGATATATTTCACATGAAAGTTCATATTTCAGGCCAAGCAAATGATAGTCGGCAGCGATGGACAATTGTACGAAATAGATGATAATGCAAAGCAAGAGATACTGGATGATGTTGACGATGATGATAATGATGTTAATGGAAATGATAACATTGATGAACAGGTAATCATTCATATATTACTTAAAACTACTTTCGAAAGTTTTTGAACTGAAACTTCTTTATCGGCGTTGGAAAAAAATTTACCGTCACATTTTTTTCGGTTACGCGTCACGTTTTTTGGTTACGCGCCATCTTTTTTTTTAAAAGAGCACTATTTACCTCATCCGAACAATTGCTTCTTCTGTCAACTTTAAAAAAAAAAAGTATCGACAGCAAATATTCGTGTTTCACACAAGGTAAGGTAAGGTAAGGCGTAGTTATACCCCTTTAGTGGGTGAGTTTTTGAAAAATCTTAGCGCACGCCTATATATATATTTCTGGAAAGTTGCATGTAGATCATTTTTCGAAAAAAATAAGGCCATAAAGAAGTTTCACTTTTTACGTGTGTACACTAGTACACGCACACATTTTTTCTCTCCCTGTGGGGTGTCACCCCCACTCTCAAAGGGGCTTTCTTGCCTACTTTGAGTAACACTGGTCCGTATGATTGCAGTTTCAACTTTCCTACAAATGAGCAATGTCTAATATGACATTAAATTTCAAATCTCATGTCAACCCACTGAAAGATCATAATATGTTGAAGATTCTTTTCCATTTGTGAAACACACACGCACACACATACCATACACACACATACCACACACACACACACATACCACACACACGCACACACATACCACACACACATACCACACACACATACCACACACACGCACACACATACCACACACACACACACACATACCACACACACACACACATACCACACACACGCACACACATACCACACACACACACATACCACACACACACACATACCACACACACACACACACATACCACACACACACACACACACATATACCACACACACACACACACATATACCACACACACACACACATATACCACACACACACACACATACCACACACACACACTCACATACCTCACACACACACACTCACATACCACACACACACACATACAATATTTATAATATTTTTAAAAAAAGAAAAAATATTAATTTGTTTTTTAAAAACAGTGATGTTCACACACTTAATACAAGAAACAAAAATAAACTAACTTTACCTGCTACTAGGCTTCACAAAATCAATAATTCATTTAAAGGTCTTTGTGTACGCTTATACAATAAAGTCCCAAGCAATATTCAAGAGTTAACCATAAATAAATTCAAAGATAGTATAAAAAAAGCTTATTACAAAGTGTCTGATTATATTACAGACAAAAATGCTTGGGTTTGAACTGTTCCAATCATTCCAACAGGTTTTCTATATTAAATAAATCATGATTGTATTGACGTTGTAACAAACATAATGATTTGTAAATGTTGTTACGTTATGCTTTTAATGTTGTGGAGTTTTTTCGCTCGTTTTTCTCCGCAGCTACAAAATATGTCCTATAACGAGTGGTAGGGAAAAAAAATGTTTGGACGATTCAAAAGTGTTGTACTATACATCCAATTTGAATAAAGATATATTGATTTCTGATTTCTGATTTCACACACAAACACACAATGTATTTCTATAAATTTATTCTGTAAATCAACTCTGCTTTCCTATTTAGTCACATTTATTTAATGTACATCAAAATCCTTCCCTAACAGGACAGGCTAAGCCTAGTGTGGGGACTTAGAACTCTGTAAAATTGTTGTGAAATTTGTAAATAAATCTAATGATTTATTATTTTCTGTGTGTACAACGTATTCATCGTCGTCGCGTTTTCAGAACGCGGAACCAATGGAAATATACCTGGACGAAGTGGAAGGGAACGTCATTGAGAAACTGAAAAGTCAAAAACCGCTTAAAAAGGTCAAACGCGTCGTCATAGAGGAGAGCGACGACACCGATGACGGAGAAATAACATACAAGAAGCGATATGTGAAGACTTCAACGGATAGCCTAGATAAATTCGGGAGCTATTTAGTGTCGTTGCTAAGGCAACTGCCCAAAGCTGATTCCAATCGGTTGCAGGCGGATTTCGTTAAGCAAATTATGAATTGTCAAAGTGAAGAAGGCATTGTAGTGAGCGATTCGTACGTGACGACGATAGCGGAATGCAAAGACGACTTAGTCGCCGACAGCAGTGCGTCCAACGACGACGTTTTGGTTCAAACTACAATTGTTGACAGTGATTGTCAATAAAATATTTTTTTTACCTGTCAAGTTTTTTTATTTGTAAATATTTTTTTTTACCTATCATTTGTTTTTATCTGTTACCTCTTGCATTATATCATTGGAGACTTATAATCTCCAATTTAGTAATGATATTTTTGATGTGATTACTTCTTTTATGGGAGGGTAAATCGCTTCGTTACGTAACGCGTTACGCGTTACTCTCAGGACTACTACAACACTATTCAGTTAAACCCTGTGCAGCTATGTGTAATATATATAAGGTGCAAGTACAGGGATGTGGGTAGGGATGTACATCACTCTGAAAAACATCGATATTTTAAAACATCAATGTTTGCATGAAAAACATCGATGTTCAAAAATATCGTTGATAAGAGCGATATATCGATGTTTTTGGTTTTATATTTTTCATAGGATGCTTCATTGACCCTAGCATTAACATATTTTATTACATAAGCATTATTTATTTTGAATTTAACAATTATGCAACAGAGTTAAGGAAAATAAGCTTAGATAATCTAGACCTTAGAACAGCCTACCTATTTCTTAGTTGAGTAATGGTTGCTCCAGCTTCCGAGAACAATCGCTCACTTGAGACGTGGCAACGATGGGAAGGTATATCATAGCGACTTTGGTAAGTTGTGGAAATAGAGATTTCATATCGTTCCCAAATTTCGATGGCACCTCTCTTCTCTTTATTGGTGTTACAGGCATCTAGACCTCGGTTTCGCTGATGGAGCCTGATAGTGGCATAGCTGCAGCAGATGATTTATTTTTCATGTTTTTATGTGTCAGCTGACGCTTGTGGTATTTCCAAATGTAAATATTTTTACAAGTTATTAAATATTATATTTAATTTTTAAAAAAGTCCATGCGTGTGAAGGCGGGGGTGCCCGCCTACAAAAACCTAACGAAATAATGAAAAACAAACCATCATAACTACTTTATAAATTAATTCAACGAGTACATTTCCAAGAAACCAAGTAGTCAAAGAATTAAATTATATTTAATAAGTTCATCTACGCTTTACGCACAACAATGCAATGCGAGCGAACATCACAGTGATTCCGAAAATCCGAACAGGCAAGTACGATGTCGATGTTTGTGAATGTAGTGAACGACGTATCGACAATATATCGCTCATCAAAACATCGATGTATCGTTTGCATCCCTAGATGTGGGTGAGACATATTTTTTCTACCTTTTGCCATGGTAATATTATCTATACAGTATTGTGACTCGACCCTGTTCTTTGAAATAACTGCCTAAGGCCGAGCGGTATCCACGCGGTAGGGCTGCCCGCTTACAGTTTTTAATTTCATCTACATAATTGAGTTTCTTTCTAGTTTTGTGATTGTAAATATTTTATTTCATATGTAAAAAAAAATGTTGTGAATGAATTAGGAAGTGTTACATAAAATACATGTTATTTTGAGTTTAATATTTAATAAAAAGTGTATAAATAAATAAATAATGATTTGAGATAGATAAATATTTACGCCTCTACTGAGACGTACGAAAAGCTTTATTATTTAGTATAATAAATACGGATTCGTATATAAAGTTTAATTATTGAAGAGTTCAAGCAACCAAAACCAGCACAATATCGACTATTGCTCTTTGCCATATTAAATTATGTAGGTATCTACTTAATTCAATCAAATATTCACAATACAAACGTTTAAGCACGCCTAACTGCTTCAAAACCATTGACACCGTTCGGTCGTCGCTGCGGCGCATTCGCGACTGGATGCCCACCGGGTGCCGCGCGAACTCGAGTGGCGTAGGTATGACACACTTTCCGACCGTTTGTATGAAGATAGAATACTGTATAGATAATATAACCGTGCTTTAGCTGTAGAGACAATGGGTCCTTGGGGCCCTGCCGCAAAATTATTACTTAAGGATATGACTGCTCGCCTGTGCGAGGTTACAGGAGACCCAAGATCTGCTTTTTTGCTCAACGGATTAGTTTGGCGATACAGCGAGGCAACGCTGCCAGTCTTCTGGGGACCGTCCTCCTTACAGGCGAACTCAATGAAATATTTAACTTGTAATTTACGGTTGTATATTTTGTTAAAAAAATAAATAATAACAATTGCAGAACAATGTAAACATGCATGTAGGTAGGTAGGTAGGTACTCGTATTAAAGAGATATTGATGAAAACACTGAAGTAATAATATACGAATTCGATATTGGTTCGTGCTAGGGGTACTGTTTTGCTGTTGTCAGTTTTTTAGTAACACGTTATTTGTCATTGCGGGATTGCGTATAGAAATTATTAGTTACGGTTTAGCGGTTTTATCGATATTTTAACATAAATGAAATGAAAAATCTTTATTGGCCATCTAGTTTATGAAACAGAGGAGAAAAAAAAAATATAAAAAAGAAACTTAACCTAGGAACAAAAATTAATCATTAGATTTAAAACGGCCAATCAGGACCCTGGCTCAGCTTATGCTGATACAATGAGAAAATATTCTCTCACTGTATCAGCGCTGGTATTCTGGCAGGGCCTGTTTGAGGACGTGTTAGGCGCTATAGTAAACAAAATAACATAAATACTTGGTGTCGATTCTGGCGTGACTCTCCGAACCCAAAATCAAATTCAACACCAGTCCCTCCCCTTCATTCTGTATAGAGAATAACAGGAATGCACCGCTGTCAAATCCAAGACTAGCCCTAGAGAATCACGCCATAATCGACATCATTATAAAAGAATACTTAATAATAAAAATAAAATAAGAACGAAAAAAAAAGAAGGACATTTCGACATTTACATTTTGAAAAATTATAAAATTACATCTTATGCACACATCAGACAATTGCACATTAACTGTATACAGGGTGAAATTGAATGTTTTAATGAAACTTCGTGGGAATGTTGGGTTACGTATATAGAGTATCTCTGAATATTTTCGGATTTTTTAAAAAATGATTTAAAATAAAATTTTGTTTTTTTTTGTTATATTTTAAGTCCTTTCCTCCTTTTGGGTACTAAATAATTATTCTTTTACAGAGTAAGTAAAAAACAAGTAATAAGCACTACTAAAAAAGACGTAAAAACAGGAGACGGGCGGCCGGGAGCAATGACCGCTCCCGCCGTTGAATACCTTCCTGCCTACCTATCTAGGTATGCGCGGTGCACAGCGCAGTGAGCGAGCGGAGTCTCAAGCGCGCGTGCGTATCTTTTAAATTTGTGACAAGACAAGATTTGCAAATAATGCCTTGATTAGTTCTTGTTCTGTGCCCTCAATATAAGAATTTGGATATGGTGTGCTGTTATTGCGAGTGTCACGGAATACTCAGCAGAGCCACAAGGCTTTACGAAAGTAGGTTTGGTGATTTATTGGGAAGTTATAGAGAAAAAAATTAATAGGTACATCGGTCTCGTAAGTACTTTTGAATACCTGGTAATAAATTTCATTCTGACCCAAGTATTGAACTGCAATAAGTATTTCTTTTTGTTTAACTTTTGCCTATTTCCAATCGTGACAAAATTATTATTAACTTTTTAAGTTTTTCTCTGCTTAAGAGAAGATGACATTTGTGCTTATTATTTCAATTTCAATAAAGGCATCTAAGACGATTTTATTGTATTGTGTGGACTCAAACGAGTCAGCTGAGCTCTGTGTACGTACCTACTCACTCAACGGCTGGCGGGCGCGGTCGGTCGTTGACCCGCGGTGGAATTTTACTGTTTTTCCGTTTTTTAGAAGTGCTTATTTATTAGTTGTTTTTCACTGGATATGTAAGCATGTTTGTTCAGTAAGAAAAACTACTCAAAAGGAGGAAAGGACAAAAAAATACACAAATTATAAATAAATACATGAAAAAAAATACTTCAAAACAATCCGAAAAAAATCAGGCATACTCTATACTCGTAACCCAACAATCTCACGAAGTTTCATTAAAACATTCAATTTCACCCTATATACATACTCGTACATGCACACACATCCACAGATACGCATATATATTCATACACAGCACGTACACATAGATACACACACAGAGATCTATATATATATATATATATATATATAATGTATTTTTATTTATGAATATTATGTTATATATATATATATATATATAATAATACATTTATAATACATTTACTACATAACGAACTTTGGTATTGTTTAATACGTTTTCTTTGTTTTCATTTTATAAATATTATTAGTATACAAGTATATATTTGGTTTTTTTATAAATACATATTAAACATCCATGACTGGAGTACAAATGCTCGTATTCATCACACAAACATCTGCCCCCACCGGGATTCGAACCCGGGACCTCTCGAGTCGGCGACAGCCATGAAACCCGGCGTACAAACCACTCTGCCACGGAGGTCGTCATCGTCGTCGAGTTTTAAAAATAATAATAAGATAAAATGCCGAAAATAAAGAGCAAGAACTGCTGCTATACTGGAACTATTATGAAGTTAGTGATGTAACTAATAAAAAAGCAATTTGTAAATATTGTAAAAATATTTTTTCGTACAAAAGTACAATAACCAATTTAAAACTCCACTTAAGGAAGAAACACGTTTGAGTATTCGATGAATTTTGCCAAACGGAATCCATATTCCCTGCTAACAATGGTAATGCTAATAATCCTTTGCATGTTAAATAAAAACGAAGAAGTAATGCGGGATTTACACTACCCAATTTTAATGGACTCTTAACTTAACTACGGTTTTCATAATCTCGGGCTTACATTCGTCTACCCGTTTGTAATAACCAACTTGCCGCACTAATATCATAAAAAACTATTTTAATAGACATGGGCCGACTAGTCGGGAAAGGCGACTATTCGGCAAAACATGACGATTATAATCGGCACATAACAATGAAATAAAACTCAAAACTTATGCTTGTTTAGAATATTTAAACAGAACCTAGAGTATGTATTTAAAGTTACCTACAGTCTTAAAATATAAAAAAAAAGTAAGATAACACAATAAGAATTAGAAACTTAAGAAGATCTGCCAGTAATTCAGATAACACAATGAATATCGCAAAAAACAAAATAGCAATGGGAAGTAATTATGTATTATAATGGAGTAAAGTCTTAAGTGCTAGCGAGTCTTAAAGAAGTCCATAGGTCATTTTTTTACTTTAGAGGCAAATTGTGATGTTGGAACGTGAATATTTCGGCTCGATTTGGGAGACTCGTGTCGTGCGTGGGCAAGCTGTGTAGTGACGAAATATTCCTCTTCACCTTCATATCACCTTCCTAAGATACGTACTACATATTAGAATGACCGGCATTGCAGAATTGGGTATTTGACAGTATTAAAAATAAAGTGCCAATTGTTAGCATCTGTATTTAGAATGAATATTGGAAGGAGTTTTTACTATTTTTATGGAAAAAATATTCATAATTTTACTAAAAACCCACGATAAAGATAATAGTTTTCTTGTCTTTTGTCACGTGACCCAAAACGCTTGGGATTGGTGGAGCCTAAAATGACGTCACACGCAAGTAAACTTCCGGTTAAAGTGTCATTAGATTGTGTGGTTTGACGTTTTCATGACAGTCGTGTGACGTCACACACCAGTGAGACGCCATATTGTCCAGAGATACGTTTTTCGCGGCAACTTGAAAATAGAGTTTTTGATTTAGTTTTTTTTTCGAAATACACAACAGAATGATGAATAACCACTTTTTACACACTCTATAATCATTATTCAATCACGTGAGATCGTTTTCTAAAACTTGTCAAATACCGTATTCTTGGTTTTAAACGTTAGTGGAACGACATACACATTCGAAATACACAACATAATGATGAATATCCAGAATTGATATATGATAATATAATGAATATCTTTTTATGGACTCTTGTCAAATATAACTTGTCAATTACCCTATAGTCGGCCGACTAGTCGGCAATTCGAAAACCGATTAGTCGTTAGTCAGCCCATCTCTACTATTTAACAACACAGTAATAATAGTTGCGTGTGGTTGCCTGCAGACGATGATTCCGAAAGCGAGGCCACCAGCCCGGTGTGGAGTTTCTTCGAGAAGGAGAAGAACGGGCGCGCACGCTGCGTGGTGTGCTGCGTGCTGATCAACGCCTCCGTCTCAGAGCTCAGACACCACTTGAGGCGTAAACATCCGAAGCTACTCACAGAATTAAATGAGGTAAGTAAGCGAGCTATTGGTGTCGATCAGGGCCAGAGTTGTATTTTAAAGAGGAAACGTATTTAATACGTAATAATAATAATAAATATTTCCAACACTCACACCAATTAGCCTAGCCCCAAAGTAAGCACTGTAAGGCTTGTGTTATGGGATACTAGGGTAACGGATAGAATACATATACTGTACATATATAAGTATATTTATTTAGAAATACATATTAAACATCCATGACTGGAGTACAAATGCTCGTATTTATCACACAAACATCTGCCCTCACCGGGATTCGAACCCGGGACCTCTCGAGTCGGCGACACCATGAAACCCGGCGTACAAACCACTCGGCCACGGAAGTCGTCGATATTTACGTGTCGTGACGGGCCAAAAGCACATCGGTTTCAGTGATGTATTTTTTGAAGTTGCTTCGCGTAAGCAAGCGGCATATTGTGCTTGGATCAGAGGCCGCGCTCTTAAGGATCCCGGGGTAAATTCACTAAAAGCAGCCTACAATATTGCTTTCAAGGCCTGTAAGAAGGCTTACATCAGAGCGGATACCCAGCGCGTTGCACGTGTTGGTCACGAACTCATAACGCATCCTACGGGCTGCCGTAGCTATTGGCGTTTGGCCAAGGCCGTGCAAAAGAACTTCTGCCAGCCCTCGCTGCCACCTCTGAGATTCTCAGATGGAACACTAGCTGAAAAGCCGCAGGAGAAAGCCAATTTACTGGCAAAAGTCTTTGCGGCTAACTCCCGAATCGATGATTGCAATGCACTGCCACAATGAGGCATCTTCTATCTCGAGTTCCTCCGTGCTCCGGAAGGCACGTTAAGCCGTTGGTCCCGGCTGCATCTGCAGTCGTTAGCGCCCACCAATCCGCACTGGGTCTGCGTGGTGGGTCATGGCCCAATCTCCCTATTCCATCCATAGGGAAGGCCTGTGCCCCAGCAGTGGGGACGTTAATAGGCTGATGATGATGATGAATGGTATTTTGAGGTAGCCATAATGCCCCCCACCCCCTGGCTACGACCCTCAGTGTCGATTCGTAGCATGAATCTCTAAACTTAAGCTAAATGTAAATCCAATCCTTATATTAAAACAAAAAGGGAAGATACGGCATTCGCGGCTCAAAAGTGATCCGCTTAAATTGTGGTCCACGACCATAATTCGCTTTAGTCACTATTTGACATTCAAACACGCTGCATGTACACTCAATACAATAATATTGCGTATATTCTGTGTTATGAAGATATAACAATGCCTTCGATGCTTTTATAAAGAACACAAATAGTTCAAAATCAAATGCCCAGCAACACTTTTCATTCGTAAAACGGTGAAAACATTTTTTTCTCAAAAATCACGGTCTGTCGTGAATATTATTTACGTAATCGTCATTTTGTAAGCAAGAACAGAACAACAATACGCTGCGTTGAAGCGTATAGTTCTGTCTTGCTCGCTCGATTGATGTTTATATACAGACGTGTGCGTGGCGAGAGTTGCTTATGTAGTTGAGTCGAATCATATTTTATTATGAGCGTACCGTATCTAACCTTTTTGTTTTAATCTAAGCTCCAATCTCTCCTTTTCCTTCTGTATGGAGAATGACAAGTATACACTGTTGACAAGTTTCCTTCTAGGTTTAGGGCGGTTTCAGACTAGCGTTTTATACGCGCGTATGAGCTAATGTTTGACAGCGCATGTAATCGCGTATAGGTGCACCTTTTGCCACACGCACAATAGGGTATTGACAAGTTTTAGAAAACGATCTCACGTTTTTGACTAATGTTTATGGAGTCCGTAAAAAGTGGATATTCATCATTCTGTTGTGTATTTCAGTAAAAATAACGAAATCAAAAATTCCATTTTCAAGTTGCCGCGAAAACGTTTTTCTGGACAATATGGCATCTTACTAGTGTGTGAGGTCCCACGACTGTTATTAAAACGTCAAACGATACAATGTAATGTCACTTTAACCGGAAGTTTACTTGTGTGTGACGTCATTTTAGGCTCCGCCAATCCCAAGCGTTTTGGGTCACGTGACAATAGATAAAAAAACTATTATCTTTTTCGTGGGCTTTTAGTAAAATTATGAATATTTTTTTGTAAAAATAGTAAAAACCCCTGCCAATATTCATTCTATACACAGATGCTAACAATTGGCACTTTATTTTTAATACTGTCAAATACCCTATTCTACTTATATAAAAATATTAAAAAGTATAAATGATCAAAATACTCCAATCAGGAAAACGGTTGAACTTATTTAGTTAAAATTTTGCCTGTTTATTACTTGGATTAGGACAAAAGGTACATTGATCCCGGATCATATCAGGTTCCTGTTAGATTCTTAAAAAATAGGGCGGAAGCTTATATGTTTTTTTACACTCGCACCAATTAGCTTAGCCCCAAAGTAAGCACTGTAAGGCTTGTGTTATGGGTAACGGATAGAATACATATACGAATACATTACCTATATAAGTATATTTTATCTAGAAATATATAAATAAACACCCATGACTAAGGTACAAATGCTCGTATTCATTATATGGTACCCTCGAACCTGGGACCTCTGAGTAGGCGGCGATCTTTTTCTTATATTATATCTTTTGTTTTTATATATAACTAGTGGCCGCCCTCGCTTCGCGTCGGTGTAGAGCTGTAGTGTAGAATTTCGATTTTTTTTCACCTTTTAAACCTTTCCTAGACCTTCACGAACATTTCAAGACCAAGATAAGGTAAATCCGTTCAGCCGTTCTCGAGTTTTAACGAGACTAACGAACAGCAATTGATTTTTATATATATAGACTAGCGGACCCGACAGACGTTGTCCTGTCTAGTATGTTAGCGCCGTCTGTCGGATCCAATGTAAAACATTCCAAAGTCAACAACTACTAATAAATTAAAAATTAATTAAAAAAACATTGTCCAGCGGACAAAATTGTGAATCTAAACCATTCTCAGATCCCCTTGAACACACACAAAAAATTTCATCAAAATCGGTCCAGTCGTTTAAGAGAAGTTCAGTGACATACACACTCACAGAAGAATTATATATATAAAGATAGGGGACATACCATTTGATAGCTCACCTGATGGTAAATGATCAATGTCGCGCATAGACTCCTGCAATATCGGCCAATCGCCGAACGAGATTACTATCTTCTCTCTTGTATTTTTCATATTGCACAAAAAGAAGTTGTTTGGCTTTAATTTCACGGCCGGTTACCTCCTGACGCTAAGACCGTCGCCTTCCCAGGGCGTGGGCGACGACGTTGGCTCAACAGAGTTCTTTCGTCGCCTTCCCTTCTGTAAACTCGGCCAGGCCTACAGCACTGTCATGACTTCTCTCCAGTTACGCCGGAGCAGCTCACACAGACCCGTCTTCCCCAGTGGGCACTTTGGGCAAGTGCCCAGGGCCCACAATCGATAGGGGGGGGCCCTCAGATCAAATACAAAGTCCCTAGTTCCTGTTAAATCACCAAACGGAAGTCATAGGGGCCCCATTAGCCTTATATGCCCAGGGCCTCCAATAGGTCAAAGACGGCACTGAGCTCACAACAGAGGTTGTATACGGGGTGTCCTTCTCCGGCCTATTAGTTCGCGGGAGGTATTTTATTTCCTTCCAACCCCTTCATACGAGTATCTACCGAGCGTTCCCCGATCTGCCATTTAGGACGCGTTCTCTAGTGAGGCTCTCCAAAGAAGGATAATGTAACTACCAATGCAGAAGATACACAGCGCGAGGCATTTGAAAACCTTCTGCGGTCAGTAATAACAGAATGCAATCGTAAGCGATAGCGATAACCATAACAATAACGTTAGGCGATTGGCCCTCAGGAGTATCACTAATAGTCCAGTCAATGAAGGTTTTCACCTCCGATTTCGTTGAACCTCCATCGATTTTCATGAAAATTGAGGAGTAGGTGGTGGATACCTTAAGAAACAAAAGTGATATAGTGCCAACTTGCGCTTTTGTCCTGGGGGTAGATGCCACCCCTTCCCGGGGGTGAAAATTATTTTAATGAAAATAACAGAAAGTATTGATTTATTCCACAAACCTTATATAGCAAATTTCGCTTAGAATTTGTCTTTATATCGATTTCTGGAGTTATTTTTATTAAAATATTTTTCACGCCCGGGAAAGGGTGGCATCTACCCCCGGGCCAAAAGCGCAAGTTGGCACTATGTCACTTTTGTTTCTTAAGGTATCCCCCACCTACTCACCAATTTTCATGAAAATCGATGGAGGTTTAACGAAATTGTAGCTGATTTTTGCCTTCATTGACTGGACTATAATACGATGCCGGCCTTAATGTAAGGAGAAAGCTCTTTTTTTAAGGTTTTTAGGGGTCGTATTGGTCCGATAACACTGCTTGTGACAATCCCAGTTTGACATATGTGGTAAAAAAAAAACCGATAACATCGCAAGGATGTAGATATTCATATATTCTATTAATTATTTCCCCCTTTCACAGACACAGGATGAGCAGAACGAAAAAGAAGACGAAGTTTACACAGAGGTCTTGTACATCGAAGAGCCATCGTCGAAGGAGGAATCACGGAAAAGCACAGCGGGAGAACACAAAAAGAAGACCAGCCTACTCAAAGTCAAACCAACGGAAACTCTCAGAGCCAGGAGACGCTCTTCGTCAGACGACGAGGGTTATAGAAGAAAACGCCCCGCTCGCACGGAGACAGTAACCAAAACCAAAAGAACATCGGACGACGAAGAAATCGAGTCTTTCGGGACATACGTAGTGTGTTTACTGAAGAAATTGCCGAGAAATGTCAGCATGAAAGTACAAAGAGACATTATAAACTTAATAATGAACGCGAATTTGAATGAGGAGAAAGAAGAGACAATGCCGAGGATAATCTTCGATGGAAATAATATCAGGTCGTGTGAAGATAACAGCATTATTGTGGTGACGAATAAGGAAGGTGAAAACGTGAATCAAGACGCTAGTAATGACGTCGCATCGGAGAATCCTAGCATTGCTGGTTCTTCGTTGCAGAGTTAACTAAAGTTTAGACTACAGACGGGAGCGCGACAGGAGCTTCTAGATAGGGCGGGGGGCATTATGGGGCAATGCCCTACCTCGAAATACCATTGCCCTACCTTAAAACGTACTAAAGTATAGACTAAAGACGAGAGCGCGACAGGATCTTCTAGATAGGGCGGGGGGCATTATGGGGCAATGCCCTACCTCGAAATAGCATTGCCTTACCTTAAAACGGGGCGGTACTGCGAAGGGCGGCACACCCCTGCTTGTGCCCTACCTTAAATTACCGCTGACAACTGGCTACAGCTCTGCGGCGTAAGGATACTGGTTCCATATGATTCGGTAATTTGAACTTTGTTAGTTAATGTAATTTTATAGCGATGGAGGCAAGGTGACTGATAAATTTTGGTGGCGAACTGTTAAATGTATTCAGATTAAGAAGACATAAGGAGAACGAAGTATCTTTGTTTGTTTTAAACGATTATTGTGAAAGCGATCTTGAAGATGATCATCTTTTTGATTACGATGTCTTATTTATTATGTTCTCGAACTATGTTAAAATATTTTTTGGTTTCCAATTTCTCTATGTGTCTATGCTTCCTATTATTGATTTAAAATACTTAATATGGATAGGTACCTAAGTTACTATTACTTAGTTCTTTTAAAATTAATTTAACGAAAATACATTTTGTCTTTAAATAATGTTTAAATAAATACATATTTTCTTAAGAGATTTTTATTTTATTTTACATGACAGTCCACCTTCAATGCATATTTTATAAGGTCTTAATTAAATCGCATACGTCAAAGGGTTATGACAGTTCGAAATGCAAGCTCGTAAAATTTACGAAGCAAACCATACACAAAGTTACAATAATTAGTAATAATCATAATTAATCTTTCTTGTCCTTCGAAAACACAACCAATGGGTACGATAAATATCTTATTTATATTCTCACAATAGTAAAAAAACTATATCCTTGTATCCTTTGCTCCACACAGGATTCCTATCTAGAATCCTTCGTTGCTACAGTAGGGATCAATCTAAGCACCTCAAATTAAATTTCTTTTATATTTGCACTTATAGTATAATCCACTAATTGCATATTAAAGTATCAATTTGGTAAATCGCACTATACTGAACATCGCTGAGTCGATGTCTCGCTCGTGCGACTCTCACAGACTCGTCAATCGCGCAATTTTGTAAAAGGGCTCTTAAGAATAAAGATCTTTTTTTTATGAGATACATTTCCATTTTACATAACTTGCCTTCTCTTTCTTGAGTTGAGGTCTTTAAATCCTTAATTCTGAGCCCTTAAGGTATACTTATATATAGGGTGAAATTGAATGTTTTAATGAAACTTCGTGAGATTGTTGGGTTACGTGAAAAGAGTATGCCTGATTTTTTTCGGATTTTTTTGAAGTATTTATTTTCATGTTTTTATTTATAATTTGTGTATTTTTATGTCCTTTCCTCCTTTTGAGTAGTTATTCATTTTAAACAAACAAACTTACATATCCAGTGAAAAATAACTAATAAATAAGTACTTCAAAAAAATGGAAAAACATTAAAATTCCACGGCGGGTCAACGACCGACCGCGCCCGCCAGCCGTTGAGTGAGTACGTACCTCTACACAGAGTTCAGTTGACTCCTTTGATTCCACACAGTACAATAAAGTCGTCTTAGATGCCTTTATTGAAATAATAAGCACAAATGTCATCTTCTCTTAAGCGGAGAAAAACTTTAAAAGTTAATAATAATTTTGTCACGATTAGAAATAGGCAAATGTTAAACAAAAAGAAATACTTATTGCAGTTCAATACTTGGGTGAAATTTATAACCCGGTATTCAAAAGTACTTACGAGACCGATGTACCTATTCATTTTTTTCACTTAAACTTCCCGTATACACTTTGTAAACACAATCAATCGCCAAACCTACTTTCGTAAAGCCTTGTGGCTCTGCTGAGTATTCCGTGACACTACAATAACAACACACCATATCCAACTTCTTATATTGAGGCCACAGAACAAGAACTAATCATGGCATTATTTGCAAATCTTCTCTTGTCACAAATTTAAAAGATACGCACGCGCGGTGGATAAACTTGACACTGCGCTCGCTCACTGCGCTTTGCACCGCGCATAGGTATAGGTATTCAACCGATTCAACGGCGGGAGCGGTCATTGCTCCCGACCGCTCGTCTTCTGTTTTTACGTTTTTTTAGTAGTGCTAATTAGTTGTTTTTTACTTACTCTGTATGAGTGTTTAAAAAGAATAATTATTTAGTACCCAAAAGGAGATTAAAATATAACAAAAAAAATATTTATTGATATGAATATAATTAAATTGCACAATAGGAACAAGGAATTGAATGAAAATAAGAATTGTACAAATTTTAACTATAGAAATATATTTTGTTTACTAAAACATTGTACATGTAAACTTAAACTTAACACGAGAGACTCATCGTAACGTTACCGAGCGTTACACTTTTTCATAAGTGACTCCCAGCCGCAACCTAATTTAAGACGTTGTCACGTCAAAAACGAAATTTTATTTTAAATCATCTTTAAAAAATCCGAAAAAATTCAGAGATACTCTATATACGTAACCCAATAATCCCACGAAGTTTCATTGAAACATTCAATTTCACCCTGTATATACTAATGCACGGGCATTGCAACTTTATACAAATAATAAGCAAATCGTAAGCATAATTCTAATTAGGTTCTTGATTGATTACAATGTACGTTAATAGTACTCTAAGCTCTGGTACTTCTATGCTATTAAAGATCACTTTGGTATTACGTGTTACATTGTATTTAAAGAATTACAACACTATTATCAGTATGTTTTTACTTCTACGCTCGTTTTCATATTGCGATCGTTAAAGTTAAGCAACTTTTGCAGTGGTCGGTCAGATATCTCTGCAATGTTTATATTATGTGAAAAAAGAAAAAATACGTGTCCAATACTTTTTGATAAAATCTACCTGATAAACGAAGAAAAAAAAATAGTCATCATCTCTGCCTGCTCATGTGGATATTTTCGTTTTGTATACCTGTAGTGTGTGTAGTCACGGTAATATTATCTGCCGTGGTGTAGTGTTTAATATTTACTCGAAAATTTTGAAATGGCCTTATAATAGTTCTATGATTTTTTTTTTATAATTCCGTTGACTCATCCTCAAAGTTAAAGGCAACCCTTTCAAAATCAAAAATCATTTATTCCATCGGTTCGCAAAACAGCGGCGCGGCGCGGCGGGAGACCTTGTACCACAATACATACAAGAGCAGTAGTGTAACTCAGCCGTTTTCTTGAAATAGATACCTACGAATTAGTGATGTAACGCATGTCATTTTTTAAACATTCGCGAACGCGAATGCGGATGCGAATGTCTGGTACCGCCATTCGCGAATGCGAATGCGAATATTTAGTTTCTTTTTAATTGGCGCCAATTGTCTATGGCATGGTGGCAGTCTCGTTCGAATTGCCGAGTTGATATGAACTCATCCGACTGAAGTGTCATTCCGCTCGCACCGGTCTTTCCGTAAACAAAACAAGTGTAACTAACTTAACTCGGCCAACGACCAGTCTCGGCGGCGCGCGACGTGGCACTGTGTCTTGCCAAGATTGGTTAGCGCCCGTGTAAATGACGTTTGTCTGTGTGCGTGCGTCGATTCGGGCGCTAGTATGAAGTCAAAGTACTGCTCTTGTATATATTGTGCTTGTACTGAGAAGAACCGCCAAGAAACTCTCTCTCTTTTTACGGGTGTACTCGCCTTAATCAACTTTCGCAGTACGTAAAACTAATAAGGCGATCTAGTTAGTAGTTCGTACAAATAACTTTAAGCGTATTAGTTTATTTTAAATGTAAAATAGAACAGAGGTCACATTACGAACGCGGCCGTGGTACAGATGAGTTCAAAAATAGATTTTTTTCGAAACTGAACTGCTTATTTTAATTACACAATCAAAACAAAACTTCATACAATAAATCTTAAGTGAATTACAGAGTTTCATAACATATAAAAATACTAGCAAACCAGTGAACCAAATGTTCACCAAAACCTGATTTCTCAAAAACCGGAAGTGCTACGTTACTCAAATCCGGTTTGTAGTCTTATCAGACTATTCTTAACTTATAACTTAAATATTCTCTTTATCTATCTCTTACGGTTTGGCCGCTGAAACAGCACCACAGACAGATGGACTTGTCTAATAGATAAGAGATATATTTGTTATGAGTACAAGACTCGTCTACGTCACGCATACGTCACGAGTATTCATTATGTGTTTCCCAAGTGCAGGTGGCTCGATTGAGCAATCGTGTTGAACAGTGCTTAATAGACAGATTTAGTTCATGTAAAACCTTCGGACAGTTTTGGGAGTCGCTTGAGCTTCAATCGTGGAAGCATCTTGACGTATAGTTTGTAAGACATGATCATCGGGATCAATTAATATAAGTAATTTTGTAAAACATTTAAATAAATAAAGTTATAATTAAAAGTTTAGTTTTTAAAAACCCTACCTGATGGCTCAATTCCGTAATTTATTACAAAAAAAAATTCAACTTACAAACATTAAAAACTTTTTTTAAGATTTTCTAAATAACTTTTGTTCTTTTCGTCGGTCGAAATGAGTACAGTACCCCTAGCACGAAGCATTATCGAATTCGTATCGTTTGTGAGTCCGAAATGTCATTATCAAATTTTGTATGGAAACTAGAACAGCAGCGGCACAAAGTACGTAAACGAGAACTAAAAATCAGTACACATTTGACAATGTCATTTCGGACTCGCAAACGATACGAATTCGATATTGGTTCGTGCTAGGGGTACTGTACCCTTAGCACCAATCAATGTCGAATTCGAATTTGATTGTAACTTGTTTTGTGAGCTAATAAATACTTATATTAAAAAAAGATGTTTGTTGCTACCATAGGAACATATTTATTTTGTTGCCGACTATACCTATAGGCTCGCTACCGAATTCTGTACGTACGGTAACCTTGACTCGGTCTGTTATTTCGCGAAATAGGTACGTACGTATACACGCATCATACAAACAGGTAGGGCACGCTTGCGAAATAATATACCTACTTGACAAGTAAGTCGAAAACATGTATAAATAAAATATTTCCCACACTCACACCAAATAGCCTAGCCCCAAAGTAAGCACTGTAAGGCTTGCGTTATGGGATACTAGGGTAACGGATAGAATACATATAAGTACTGATACATATTTGAGGAGCTAGATGGCGCAGGTGGTTAGCGCGTTCGGCTGCGATCGTTGAAGTTAAGCAACTGTCGCAGTGGTCGGTCACTGGATGGGTGACCAAAAATTGGGAAAGCCTGTGCCCCATCAGTGGGGACATTAATAGGCTGATGATGATGATGACATATTTGAGAATATTTTATGTTGATTTGCTCATAAAATAAATTGAAATAGATTTTTTAAGATTTATAATTTGTCGGATTACAAGGTACTTACTTACTCATAAACAAAAAATTCTGGACTATAGAGGTTGGTCTTAGACGGTACTCTGTCATCCGACAAATTCGATAATCCGACATCGCCCTGCAAAACGTGTGTCGTATTACCGCGGGTCTACTGTAATTTGTCATATTACAAGGTACTCTTAAACAAAAAATTCTGGACTATAGAGGGAGGTCTTAGACAGTACTCTGTAATCCGACAAATTCGATTCGCCCTGCAAAACGTTTGTCGTATTACCGCGGGTCTACTGTAATTTGTCATATCACAAGGTACTCTTATACCTAAAAAATCTGGACTATAGAGGGAGGTCTTAGACAGTACTCTGTAATCCGACAAATTCGATTCGCCCTGCAAAACGTTTGTCGTATTACCGCGGGTCTACTGTAATTTGTCATATTACAAGGTACTCTTATACCTAAAAATCTGGACTATAGAGGAAGGTCTTAGACAGTACTCTGTAATCCGACAAATTCGATTCGCCCTGCAAAACGTTTGTCGTATTACCGCGGGTCTACTGTAATTTGTCATATTACAAGGTACTCTTATACAAAAAATTCTGGACTATAGAGGGAGGTCTTAGACAGTACTCTGTAATCCGACAAGTACGATAATCCGACATCGCCCTGCAAAGCGTTTGTCGGATTACCGCGGGTCTACTGTAATTTGTCATACTACAAGGTACTCTTATACAAAAAATTCTGGACTATAGAGCGAGGTCTTAGACAGTACTCTGTAATCCGACAAATTCGATAATCCGACATCGCCCTGCAAAACGTTTGCCGGTTTACCGCGGGCCTACTTTAATTTGTCATATTACAAGGTACTCTTATACAAAAAATTCTGGACTACAGAGGGTAGTCTTAGACAGTACTCTGCCATCCGACAAATTCGATAATCCGACATCGCCCTGCAAAACTTTAGTCGTATTACCGCGGATCTACTGTATAAACATCCATGACTGAGTTACAAATGCTCGTGTTCATCATACTATCATTTGCTTCTGCCATTTGCAGGTTCGGAACCCAGGTCATAGATGAATGTATGTTCTTCGCTTCGCTCGAGCGAGACCAATCAATCATCTATGTGGTAGGTATACTTGTGTATGTATATCAAAACTAGGAAAAGCATACTTCAATCTATATTTAGGGTTCTGTACACAAAGGGTAAAATATTGAAAAAAAAACGTGTGTGCTTATGACCACACGACTGAAGTGAAACCTCTTTAGCTCCATCTGTATGTACTATCGCGGAATTTTGCGCTCTGTCACTTGGCGAACAAAATGCTTTGAACGGTTTTCTACATTAGTTTTTACTACGCCCTGCCTTCGCGTCGGACGCGCCAATCCGGGCCGCCGCGCAAAAGTAAGACAGAGAGCATTTCATTGATTGAATAATGAATTGAATTGCATTTGTTTTAGTTGCAATTTGTCATCCGCATCGTGATCGCGACAGCGCTATACGAAAAAGTAAGACAGCGATAATTACATGTTTATGAATGAATTTTTACTACGCCGCTACCGCAAGCGATTATGGCATTATGGGTGACAGAGAGGGTCTTTCCGCGAGTGTACATGATACAGGGTGTAAAAAATCTTATGACAAATACTAAAACCACGCATTCTGTACACCCAAACAAGTAATATTACAAAATATTATACGTGGGAATCATTTGTATTTTTAAGTTAAAAACATGCATTTTTTTTCCAGTACGCAATGTATAGCGCGGCGCGCTACTGTAGCGCTACGCAAAGAATTTGCCTGTGTGTAAGCGCGTCGATGAAAAAGTTTCTAAATAACGTTTTGAAAATATTAATGTAAAAATCTTGAAAAAAAATTGTGACTGACCTTCAATATCTCCATAACCATAAATTTCCCAGGTATGGTCCAGAAGAAAAAAATGATCGTCATGATGTGGAAAATACGTGGCCTTCGACTTCTTTAAAGGTTTTTTTACACCCTGTATGTATATACAGGGTTTTTCAACAAGAACTTTCTTTTCTAAAACAAAATAAAACCTAAAAATTTAGATGAAGTTGATTAAATTTTTTATAGTTCGGCAATTTGGATTTGCATCTGCTTGAACACTGTGGCTCACGGCTGCGATGTTTTCAGTTGAGCGACTGTCGGACACGCGTTGGTGTTGGCACATTTTGTATCGAGCTTGTCTACTCACATTTAAAGACCAAATTCTTAATAGCGGTCTCAGAAGGAAGATTGTGTTGTCCGAAAATATCACGAATTTGACGAAATGTAACTTTAACATAACCACCATTTTCATAGTGGATTTTAATTAGATTTTCAAGCGACATTGAAGATATTGCAACAATTGCCAATGCATCTACTACGGATACGTCAAAAAACTAAATGTGAAAACTGTCATGTTGTTGGTGTTGCCACAATTGAAAAACAAAGTTCTTGCTGAACAACCCTTTATATATACATGTATGTACATATTTCATTTACTAGCCATAAGAGAAATAGAGAATGAAAATGTGCGCGCGCACTGCTTTCTCTTGATTATGTCCCCCACTCAACTCCCGTTCGCCTCGCCCGAACACACTTTTCGTAACCCGTAACGCGTTCGCCACCTTAGTCCCTAAGTCAAGCGTGCGTAAAGAAGTTTCTTTATATCCCCCACTGAACTCCCACTCGTCTCGCTCGATCACACTTTTCGTAACGCGTATCGCGTGCGCCAGCATAGCCCCCAAGTCAAGCGTGCGTAAAGTTTTATTTCTATAATAAAACCACAAAACGTAATCTTCACCTTTACGTTGTTATCAATCTACACCATTACCGTAATTCATTTCTATGAATTACGGAATTGACATTCTTGTCAGTAGGGTGACTGATCCAATTATCATCACTTTAAGAGTTAGTCGTAACTTAAGCCCGTTTATCACAATGAAAAATGCTGTTTCACCCGCTATGACGACGTTTTCTAGTTTTAATATTCAATCAGTAAGATGATTATTTAAAAAAAAAAGTTTATCTTTATCCAATTTTTTTTTAGATGGACAAGAGTACAAAATGTCCATCTTACCATTTACTAGCACCATCACCACCAATTAATAGCATAGAGTGAGCCAATTAACAGCACTATGATAGTGGTATTGAAATTATATGAAATAAAAAATGGTTTTTAGTACCTATAATCTCATTTATTGACTTTTTTTATAATACAGGTGGGTAATATGTAACTAAGGATAAAAAAAAACTATTTGTATTTATAAACTTAACAAAGTTTCATATTATTATCATGTATCATAAATCTATATAAATATCATAAAGTCTCTTGTGTTTAGTTAGCTTTTATCTCTTTTATTTTGTTTTCATTTGTCACTTGTAGCTTGTTTTCTATTGTCTCTTGTATTTTATTTTCTATAGTCCCTTGTATTGTATTTTCGTTTTTCTCCTGTATTTTATTAGCTTTTTACGTTTTTAGTAGCTATTGTCTCTTTTGTTTTTGTTTATTTTATTTGTAGCTATTTCTACTTTCCCGTTATTTTTTCGTCTTGCTCAGTAATCTGTTCTTCTTACGAGTCGCCTGTTCTTCTTCTTTTTTTTGAGTTGTTTAGTTTTTAATTTGGTGTTCAGTCTTTCGCCATCCAGCTGAAGTAAGAACGAAAGATGATCTCTCTATATTTTTAACACCTTTTCGTTCAGGCGTTTTTTCCATAACCAATACGTACTATAATTTTACTGGAGTTAGTAAATATTGTTAATTTGACTGGAGTTAGTAAATATTGTTAATTTGACTGGAGTTAGTAAATATTGTTAATTTGACTGGAGTTAGTAAATATTGTTGACTATCAAGACATAATAATTGCGCACTTCCAAGACAATCTTCAGTATTGTTAGCAGATGGTTCATTAGTGGTTGCAGAGATCATAGCTTGCATTTCATCTACAAAATCTTCTGCTATTATTACTGGAAATTGATCAATATTGAATAAATCGATAACAGCTTCTTGGGATGTGGATTATGCGTAATTAAATAACAACAAATCTACTTTAAAATCCTTTCCGTTTCTATTAGACTCTCAAGCGGCGTTCTTTGCAGAAATGTAAATTTTTCTTGCCTTACAATCTTTTCTAAAGTTTCACGTGTCATAACTCTATCTTTATTAGAATCTTCTTGTAATTTTTATTTGTCTTGTTTTGGTTCTTTAACATGTTTACACTTCCTTTACCCAGACATTTTTTGTAGTTGATGGCTTCAGAGTGCCAGGGACATAAGCCAATAGTCCTGAATGCATTTATCACTGGTGTATCTTTGACGCCAACCTCTAACTAAAAAAAAATCTTTGTGAAAGTCTCCAAAGGGTGATCTCTCCTCCATTTCACTTTCCTTCCATGCATTTTTGAGAGGTCTAAAGGCTGACATGTGTCGGCTGGCTTTAGAGCAATCAAAATAATGTCCCAACTTGCTGCACAATTCACTCACTTCAAGACCAAGATGTGTTTTGTGCCCATCTACAAATAGTATGGTGTGAAATGGATGAAATACGTTCTTGATATAATCATAGAAAAAATCACATTTCATCTAGCCAGTACAGCTTAAACCAACTTGATGATTGTTGATTTTATATCATTGGGAAACCCCTTGTTGGGAAACAGAACTAGTGGATTGTAATATCTATCTATAAGGCAGTTTTAGCTGCAGCGTGATCAACTTCATACGCGTCTCTTTCTCCTCGTAATGAAATGACTTTGCCACTCTTGGGATATTACTGAAAGTTAGATTCGTCCCCATTAAAAACACGAGGCGGGTTCTGGTAGATGTTAAAGTTGTTGTTTTCCTTAAGATAAAACTTAATTTTGTGGAACCTCCTTTTGATGTCTTCTTCTGATACATTAGCACTGACTGATGTTAAATTTTTTGAAATGCGTTCGCTGAGTTCTGGATGACGGCACATAAAAAGGTCATACCATTTTCTACCAGATATGTCATCTTTACAGAGGTTATCTCTTCCTGTCGTCTTTAAGAAACTTGCTACACTCAATTGTAAATCAGTCTGTTTTGGGAATCCTTTCCGACTGCAATCTAAAACCCATTTCACTAAAACTTCCTCTTCATCGTTCGACATTATTGGATCAGGGTCTGATAGCTTCTTGCATGGCTTTCTTAATCGCGACTGGATAGTTCGTCTAGGTACATTGAAGGTTTTCGAGGCCAGTTTTTTGGTCATACCTTATTCTAATGCATGTAAGTCTTTTAATAGATTTTCGTAAGAGTATTTTTTTCTTTTATTTGGCTTATTTACTTCCTTTGGTTTCATGGTAGGTGGGTCTGAAAAAGGAAAAATGATGAAATGCTAGGAAAACCAAATTATCAGCACTATGCTAACAAATGGCAAATGCTAAGATTTGGATTCCGAAGGAATAAACTACTTATACGAAAAAGTTGAATTTTATGCATCAAATAAACACGGTTTACAATTAAAAAAATGGGTGCGTGTACTTATGTAGGCGCGTGAGAAGTTATCCTTCTTTGGCATCGTTTAAAATTAGTTTTTAATTGCATGCAAATAATTAATTACAATAAATTAATAAAAAGTCTGGAAAAGGACACAGTCAATAAAGTTCAGTTTTAATTTGAAAAAGTAAATAAATAATCAAAATATTCAATTAAAATCGCTACTGAATATAATTTATTATAACATATGTGATTTGCACTTGCATGAAACTCAAACACGTATTCCGAATATACAAACTAGAAACATGTGGATAAATATTATAAATATGAATACCTATAACTGTTACTTTATTACAGAAAATAAAGATGTGGTTTTTGGTTCTACTACACCAATGGTCAAGAGATGGCGCTGTAGTCTCCTGAATCGCGCTTTGGTTCCGTTGTTCCAGATTAATAAATACTTTTGATATTATAAATATGAATATCTATAACTGCTACTTTATTACAAAAAATAAAGATGTGGTTTTTGGTTCTACTACACCAATGGTCAAGAGATGGCGCTGTAGCCTCCTGAATCGCGCTTTGGTTCCGATGTGCCAGATTAATAAATACTTTTGATAGGCCTTCACAATGCAGTCGTTAGCACCCACTAAATAGAGATTCTATTTCTATTTTGTTGGTAGATTTTCTTAATGTGCGGTAAACACAAAAGTAACAGTGTTAAAATTTTGTGTTACAGTGATGCGCGCGCATCTTAAAATTTCACTCTCATCATTTTTTCATAACGCGCCTAAAGAAGTATAACTTCAAAATATGGAATAAGTATTTACGTACTATTTTCCAATTATCAGCACCAGTGATGATAATTTGGAATTCGCAAAATATTAGATCCATATATCAGCACCACATTTTTTAACAATATGTCACTATAACCTCAAATTTTTCTTTTCAAACTATCCTCATAAACTATCTAAGAAATCAGATAAATCAAAAGTATTAATATAAAATATTTAAAAGATCTATTAAAGTATTAAATGTAAATACGTGAACTTACCTTCGATCTCTAAGAACAGGCAAAAATAAGACGAACTGCAGGACACAAACATATTTTTACAATTTTTTATTGCCATTTTGAAGTCGGAAAGTATGGTATTGCCAGGGGTAGGATTCCAAAAACAACAATTTATTTATTTTTTAAAGTGGACACCCAAATTAGTAAGTGAAAACCTTATTATTTAACTATTTATTCAGAGTGTTGATTATTTGGTGCAGTGCTAGCATTTGGATCAGTCACCCTAATATTATGTCGTCACTATCAATGAGGGCTACCGTTTTTTGTCTCACCAGATGGCGCCACTGTTGAGTGAGGTCCTGAATTGTAACTTTTAATGTTTATTAATACGCGCGTGAAATCAAAGTATACATTTAAATCATATTTTAATACAAAAGAACCGTATTCTAAACATAATTGGCCATACCACAGTGTTGCGCAGCTCCGTTTTGTACGGCAAAAAGGAGGACATAATTATTTTTCTTAGCTCCGCTTTTAAATAACTGACATTCAATGCCACGTAACTCATATTTGCTATAATTAAGCCGAGTTATTACTAAATATTCACAACATAATCATGACCCTTAAATAGCAAAGGCACAATGATCCTACAACTCATTTCGCCTCCCGCCGGTCTATCTTAATTTAGTTTAATATAAATAAGTTCAATACTGTAATGTATTGCAAGTAAACTTTATAACAAATTTATATTTTTTTAATAAGCTCCATTACCGACCCTGACTACGTATTGTAAACGTCATGCGTGGCGTTGTTTTGTTAGTGGTTGTTACGTCACGTTATTAAATGCTTTATAAATATCATTGCACGTAACTCGCTTAATAAGCAATACGGCCTTCTCTTCGGGGCAGCCCGCTATGCTCACTGTGTCTAACGTACGTTTATGTACACAAGTGTCTAACGAACATTTATGTAAATATCTTCTATTTAATAAAATCAGAATTGGAATTTATTTATTTGCGTTAGAACAGGGTACATTGGAGATCTTACAAATACCTACAAAGCGCGAGCCCGTTCAGCCATCTACAATCATCATCATCATCATCATCAGCCTATTAATGTCCCCACTGCTGGGGCACAGGATGGAATAGGGAGATTGGGCCATGACCCACCACGCGGGCCCAGTGCGGATTGGTGGGTGCTAACGACTGCAAATGCAGCCGGGACCAACGGCTTAACGTGCCTTCCGAAGCACGGAGGAGCTCGAGATAGTAAATTTTTGGTCACCCATCCAATGACCGACCACTGCGAAAGTTGCTTAACTTCAACGATCGCAGCCGAACGCGCTAGCCACCTGCGCCATCGAGCTCCTCCCCTCCACCCATCTAGCCCTCCCTCCCCCCATCTACTCCCTCCCATCTACAATAGTATTCAAATATTACCATCAATCATATCAATAATTCATTTCTAAAATAAAACTAAAAATGTAGGTTATTTGTATACTGTTTGTAAAATGAACTTGGATATAGCATGCGTAGTATGGCACCGCTCTAGCAGCGGGACTATGGTTGCCAGATGCTGGCTTATCAATAGGCTAGTTGACTCATGTCGAATTGTATTAAATAAATGTTTATTTCTTAAAGTA